TTCATCTGTTACCTCTTTTCAGCTCCTTCTTAATCCATCTGAAAATGAGTACCACAAACTCTATATCCACAGCTACCAGTAATAGCTCAGATCAGATCATTCAACCACAAAGTCAGTTGATCACAATGAAACTTACTGACACAAACTATCTGATATGGCAACAACAGATCTTGGCTGCAACAAGAGGTTATGGACTTATGGGCTATCTCGATGGATCTCTACCCAAGCCAGATGAACATATTCTTGTTGGATCCAGTGAAGGAGCTACCACAAATCCTCTCTACTCAGTATGGATGAGACAGGACCAACTACTAGCATATATCCTGGTTATTATCTTCTCTCTCTGAAAGTGTACTCATTTCCACTGTCGGGCTCATCACATCAAGAGAAATATGGGAATCACTCAGAGTCACCTTTGCAAGCCAAAACCAAGCCAAAATCATGCAGTACAAACTGCAGCTTCAAACCTTCAAGAAGGGAAGCTTGTCAATGAGAGAGTACCTGAGCAAAGTTAAGCAATGTTGTGACTTGTTGGCTTCAGCTGGACAAAAGATTGATGAGACAGATCAAGTGGCTCACATCATTTCTGGGCTAGGATCTGAATATAATGCTGTTATGGTGTCTCTTGCCTCAAGATCTAAACCCTACACCTTGAGAGAGGTTCACTCCATTCTTTTGAGCTTTGAAAGCAGGCTTGAAGCCACAGAGGGATACAACAACCATGGAGATGAATCAGGTTCCTCTGTTAACTTGGCCTCACAAGGAAATGCTAGAAATTTCAAAAGAAGAGGATACCAAGGAGGCCAGAGAGGAAGAGGGAGCAACCAAGGTTTTCAAGCTAGAGGAAGAGGAAGTCAAGGTAACTTCAGAGGTAGAGGAAGATTCCAAAACAGTGGAAGAGCAAGATGCCAAATATGCCACTATAATAATCACACAGTTGAAAGGTGTTATTATAGGAGTGATCTTAACTTTGTCCCTAAAAGCTTCAACTCTCTCTCACAAGGAAACTCTCGGCACCAAGTCATGAACCCCTCTGCAAACATGATGAACTTTGAAAGCTCAGAAGGAGGACAAGACACCTACTGGTACCCAGACTCAGGTGCCACAAATCACCTCACCTTTGACATGGCTAACCTGAACATTGCAACTGACTACAAAGGAGCAGAGAAAGTTCAAATGGGCAATGGAAAAGGTTTGAGCATTACTCATTATGGTAACTCTTACATTAGACCACCTGACCAAATTTCTGTTAACTTTATCTTAAAGAACCTCCTTCATGTCCCAAAAATCACCAAAAATCTTATAAGTGTCGCACAATTTTGCAAAGATAATGGTGTCTTTTTTGAATTTCATTCAAATGTTTGTGTTGTGAAGGACCAGCAAACCAAGGAAACCCTCATCAGGGGCAAGACAATGGCCTCTACAAATTTCAACTTAAAACCTGGAAAAAGAACACACCTCCTCAACAAGACCATCACATCACCAAGAACCCTTCTTCCTTTTCAGCTTCTGTGAATAATAAGTTAGAACTTAGTGTTTGGCATTCTAGATTTGGTCATGCCTCTTTTGATATTGTGAAGAAGACTTTAGAGAAATGTAATGTCTCTTATTCCAACAATGAGGAACAATCTTTATGTTTACCTTGTCTTCAATCCAAGTCCCACAGATTGCCTTTTCTTGCTTCTGAAAATAAAAATTATGAAATGTTTGATCTTGTCCACAATGACTTATGGGGAGCAGCACCTTTAAAATCCTCAAATAGATATGCCTACTATGTGAGCTTTATTGATCATGCAACCAGATTCACCTGGTTTTACTTGCTAAAACAAAAATCAGACACCTTAAACTCCTTCAAACATTTTGTATCCCTTGTAAAGACTCAGTACTCCAAAAGCATAAAATCTTTTCAATCTGATGGTGGAGGAGAATTCAAAGCCATGATTCCTTATCTTCTTGAAAATGGAATACAACATATAATCTCTTGCCCTTATACACCTCATCAGAACGGTTTGGCTGAGAGAAAACACAAACATATAGTAGAAGTAGGCTTGTCACTCCTTGCTAATTCTCATGTCCCTGTGAGATATTGGGACAGTGCCTTCACCAGTGCTGTGTTTATCATAAACAGAACCCCTTCAAAGATCCTTGATTATAAAACTCCCTTTGAATCTTTAACAGGACAGAAACCAGACTACAACCAACTTAAAGTCTTTGGATGCCTTGCTTA